GTATGTATGTATGTATGTATGTATGTATGTATGTATGTATGTATGTATGTATGTATGTATGTATGTATGTATGTATGTATGTATGTATGTATGTATGTATGTATGTATGATATGTATGTATGTATGTATGTATGTATGTATGTATGTATGTATGTATGTATGTATGTATGTATGTATGTATGTATGTATGTATGTATGTATGTATGTATGTATGTATGTATGTATGTATGTATGTATGTATGTATGTATTGTGTATGTATGTATGTATGTATGTATGTATGTATGTATGTATGTATGTATGTATGTATGTATGTATGTATGTATGTATGTATGTATGTATGTATGTATGTATGTATGTATGTATGTATGTATGTATGTATGTCTGTATGTATGTATGTATGTATGTATGTATGTGTATGTATGTATGTATGTGTGTATGTATGTATGTATGTATGTATGTATGTATGTATGTATGTATGTATGTATGTATGTATGTATGTATGTATGTATGTATGTATGTATGTATGTATGTATGTATGTATGTATGTATGTATGTTGTATGTATGTATGTAATGTATGTATGTATGTATGTATGTATGTATGTATGTATGTATGTATGTATGTATGTATGTATGTATGTATGTATGTATGTATGTATGTATGTAGTATGTATGTATGTATGTATGTATGTATGTATGTATGTATGTATGTATGTATGTATGTATGTATGTATGTATGTATGTATGTATGTATGTATGTATGTATGTATGTATGTATGTATGTATGTATGTATGTATGTATGTATGTATGTATGTATGTATGTATGTATGTATGTATGTATGTATGTATGTATGTATGTATGTATGTATGTATGTATGTATGTATGTATGTATGTATGTATGTATGTATGTATGTATGTATGTATGTATGTATGTATGTATGTATGTATGTATGTATGTATGTATGTATGTATGTATGTATGTATGTATGTATGTATGTATGTATGTATGTATGTATGTATGTATGTATGTATGTATGTATGTATGTATGTATGTATGTATGTATGTATGTATGTATGTATGTATGTATGTATGTATGTATGTATGTATGTATGTGTGTGTGTGTATGTATGTATGTATGTATGTGTGTGTGTATGTGTGTGTGTATGTGTGTGTATGGGTGGGTGGGTGGGTGAGTGGGTGTGTGTGTGTGTGTGTGTGTATGTGTTAAGTATATCAGTATATGAGTGTGCATGTATGAGAATGTAAGAGTATATAAACTTGTGTGTGAGTGTGTAAGATTGTGTACACATGACGCGTGTATGCATTATTCCATAATGTTAATTTCTTTATTATTTCCATAACATGCATTATTGATAACAGGCATTGGTTCTCTGAAAATTGAGTACTTAGAAGGGCCGAAGGTCAGACGGGCCTGCGTGCCCAATTTGTAACCCTTTTGAAAATAAAGTTTGTTCATCCGTTCGTTCGTTCTCTGGTTGGCCTTTTTTTTGCAGTTGGTGACACCAAGTGACTCAGATGATGGACCACAAAAATATCAAAGACACTGAAAAGTACTTTATACAAAGCAAACAGAAAGGCTAGTTACCAGAGATCTCTTTCCGCCCTGACACCCCATGCAGTACAGGAGAAGTGAAACGAATGATAATAAATTAATAATAATAATAATAATAATAATAATAATAATAATAATAATAATAATAATAATAATAATAATAATAATAATAATAATAAGAATAAGAAGAAGAAGAAGAACAAGGACAGGAAGAAGAAGGTATGTGCTTCTTCCTGGTGATAACAGTAATAACTGTTTTCTTACAATTTAATCGAGTTGTTCGCCGTGTACTGTTAACTACATACAGTGAACACTGCAGATTCTTTTGTTGTTGTTGTTATTGATCCAGCGGCGCATGAGCTTTCGCCATTTGGCCCAATAGTGGAAATTACATGTTTTCATAAGCTGTTCTTTTCCTCCGTACAAGGTGTTCCACTGTTCCACTGTCGGAGGGAGTAACATTCTTCTAGTCTCGTTGAGTTTTAGGCACGCAAGGACATGATGGTCAACAGTTTCGTAGGGGTAGTTACATAGATGGCACTCTGGGGAGAATTGTGGATGTAATCTGTTTAGGTGTCCACTGAGTGGAGTATGTTGTGTTCTGAGTCTGAAGATGCTGGCCTGGTCCCCTCTTGCTAAATGGTTAATGCTGTCGTTAGGATCAGGGCTAGCCATATGTCTATAAACCTTACTTGCAGTATCTCCCATGGCCCATCTGTTCATCCAAGTCTCTTTGTTTATAGCTTTTATAAGTGTTTTTGCTGTCTGTAGGGTTGTCGCTGTAGGTGGTTGTTCTTGTGTTGCTGCTTTCTTTGCCAGTCTGTCAGCTCTGTCATTACCTGGTGTGCCGGAGTGGCCTTAAATCAACTGCATCACTATTCTTATATTGCATGAGGTAATGAGCTGATCAGCATCTAGAATTATCTTAGTTATGTCAGTTCTGCAGTGTTCACTGCCCTCCAGAGCCTGAAGAGCAGACATTGAATCCGTGAAGATGACAATATTTTGGGCCTTTGAAGGATAAACATCCATTACAGTTTTTAGGTGGTATATTGCTGTTTCCAGCAGAATTCCCCGCATGCATCAAATATCTCTTCAATAGATCCATCAGGATAACCTATGTAGATTTCGTAACCTGCTTTTATGGTAGATTTGAATGCAGATCAGTCAGTATAAACATGTATCCATTCTTCGGGGTAAGTGCATATTCTTTTCATTGTATGCAGTCAACACACACCGACGTTGATTTCCTTCGCCTCGTTTTAAATTTCACATAACATTTTTACCATATAAAGGGGAAAATGCCTATTAGTATATTGGCTTGAGTAACATACGTGCTCTTAGAAGTGCCCATTGAAGTTGTTCATTTATACAAAACACACACTTTAAGAATCGGTAATTTGACAATGATAAAATAGTGTAATACAACAGCAAAACTAAACCTACCTTCATTACTGAACAGCAGTAACTTAACTGAAGCTTCTGCGTTTGGAGATGGTATTTTTATATGTATAGATAGACAAGACAAGTGACGCCCTCTGTTGTGACCTGCCAATGGCTGTGTCAGAGATGAACACCTGGCTACCGAAGAAAGTTCGATAAACTGTGAAGTATATATTGTCTGTTATAAAATAGCGTCAACTTGTCGTCTTAAGCGGAGCTGCTTCAACTGGATATGAAAACTTATTCACGTCGTATACATGTTTGTAACATACGGCACGAGTGCGATGGATGGTACGAGGAAACACATTTCAACAACACTCTGAGTACAAATCAGGACTTCATTATTATTATTATTATACGAATTAACAGGAAAACAGCAGCTGAATAAAATATGGAACACTAAAACCAAATTATGTATTTTAATTTCTAGTGCAGTTTCGGTTTTACATTTGTAAGTAAAAGTTCCAGGATCACTAAAGACATGGAACGAAACTTAACTGGTTAAGACAACAAATACGTAATGGAATTGACGGCCCTTAGTTAGTTAGTCGACAGATTATCCTCATTGCACGACGAACCACTCAGTCCATAAGTGCTCGGGTTCCCTCCTCAGTAAATCCCGCAGCGTGTAGTGGCTAACAACGTCAATTATGGGTTCTCCTTAAAACTACGGCCACTTATTATGGCGGCTGGGGGAGTACGCCGGAGTTCAGTCCCCTGGCCGCATTGCAATTACGGAGTGGAACAGAGGGAACGATATAATTGGCGATAGCACTGCTGTCATAATGGGGTTAGGGTTACGGTAAGGGTTACACATGTAACGTCGAGAATTTATCCATAATGACAGCCGCTATATCTAATAATTTTGACACAGGAGTTGCAAATAATGGCCGAAAATGTGCTGCTTGTGGCAGTGGCGCCATTGGAGTTCTGTTAAATATGAAGGCAATAACGCCTGGCTAGTGCCCAATTGGGACCGAATTTTGCGTTTCAGTAGTATCCAGACCCCGTCAGTCGTTTGGGTGTGGATGTCCTAAACCCAACCCTATTATGACAGCAGTGCTATCGCCAATTGTTTCGTTCCCTCTATTTCCACTCCGTAAATGCAATGCGGCCAGGGGACTGAACTCCGGCGTACTCCCCCGGCCGCCATAATAAGTGCATAATAAGCGGTCGTAGTTTTAAGGAGAACCCAATTATGTGTGGTTTTATTATTTTATTCTTTAGCCACCGACGTAGTGATCTTGTTTGGCGACGCCCCGTTTTACATGTTGTTCTTGTAGTGTGACCATGTTGCAGATTCACAGTTCTCAATTGGTTGACGCAAATGTCCTCACTCTCTTACAGTCTTCAGTATGTCAGCCTGGTCCATGGCTTGTCTGGCTTTCACAGTAGCCTTACCTTCAAGCCTATCAGCTTGCTCATTTCCTTGTACCCCCACATATCCTGGCACTAAAATGAAACTAATCCTTGTCAGCCATGAACGCTGTAGAGCCACCAACCACTGCCTTCGGACTCAGCTCTTCTCTATCCTCCTAAGCATACTCATCAAGTCAGTGAGAAAGCATGCCCCAGTGAAAGTCTGTGACTCTCTAGCCAAGTTACTGCTTTAGTCTCAGCCATGACCTCCATAGTCAGTGACGGACCTTAAATAGAATGAATTCAAGAAAGGAGAGGAAGAAATATTTTGACAACTGCTACCACCAACAGCTGCAAGACAAACACCCCACCCCCCCCCCCCCCCAACAGAGACTCACCAGACAGGTACTTGCCGATTCTGCTTTGATGTTGGTCGAGCCTATCCTAATCGTTACTTAACCTTATAAGATCGCAAAGTTCCCACACTGTTGAACAGAGCGTACTTAAGTATATTAGTCTAGAACTGAAATAGTTTAAAAAGAAAGGCGTAAAATGCAGGCTTCCTAGATTGCTCATTTTGAAAGAAAAACTATCCCGTGAGCCGACGAACATTGATCAAACCACTAACAAGTTGAGAATCTTCGTGAAGAAAAGTTCATCTTGGTCAAGCCAACGTGTAAAAGTGAATAATGGGGAGACAGTAGCTCGGATGGAATGTCGACCATTCGGGACAGTTCCCTCTCCTCTTCAATGTCCTCCTGTGCACCATCAAGCAGCTCCATATAGTTCTGACACTCCACAGCCAATCGCAGCTCTACCATCTGGTGGCGTATCTTCAAGAACTGTGCAGCGAGAGACTGATCTTGGAGACGCATTTTTGTCTGTACAAGAGAGGAAGAAAAGAACAAAATATATTTTAGTCACATATTGTCATATTTCAAACAAATAGTATTAATTCCCCTATCTACGCTACAAGTGCCAGACCTGGCCTCGAACAACCCAGAAAACAAACGTAGTAACTATGGAAAAAAGATGTCTGACAGTTACTGCATAAGTAACCATGAAAATTAAATTTCAGGAATGAGGTCATAAGATAAAGTTGTGGCATAGAACCAGTTCTAAACTACATACAAAGTCAGCAAATCAAATGGTTTGCCCACAAGGTATACACCAACAGCGGAAAAGTACGGGCAGACCAAGAACGAGATGGAAAGATAGCATCAGAGAAATTTTCCAACAGCACAACGTGTCTGTGGTCGAGGTGTTCAACAAACAAAAAGCACAACCGTATATCTCCCTCGACACCCGAAGAGGTAGTCTTCCTTCTACGGTTTAGGGAACGTATCGTCTATGGCAGCGGCTCACACGTAGCACCCTTGTCGGGCTCTCCAAAAAAATGTCGCGGCACACCTACACTTCAAGAGGTTGAAAACTTAGAAAAGGAAGGGGGAAAGAACAGTGCAAATTTAGTGTTCAGTTGTCTTTAAGGCGATGAATAAAACTGCTTGGATGAAGTTTTCATGATTTATTTTATATATATATATATATATATATATATATATATATATATATATATATATATATATATATATATATATATATATATATACACACATATATATATATATATATATATATATATATATATATATATATATATATATATATATATATATATATATGGGAAAGTTTAGTTTAGTTTAACCCTTAAATCACTTGGCCCCAAAAGTTTGCTCCTGTGTCTGTTTTTAGATGTAAGCGTAAGTTGAGAATGCACTAAAGCCTTGCCAATAGCATCGTTCTCTGAAGACATCTATATTCTGAACTCTTCTTGGCTTCCTTCACAATTTAAAAAAAAAGTAAAGGACCTTTTTCCATGCCTTTAGGCGTATCGGGCATATAGGGCTAGACTTAAATTGTTATAGACCAATCGGCACAAGATGGGTGGTGAGATCATCACGCCGGCCGCCTTTACCTCCCAGGACTGCACCCGGTACCCACTCAAGGCTAGGTCGACCTGGGAGCCTAGGTCATTATTGAAAATAGTCCGGCTCCACTAGGGAGCGAACCCACGTCCATCCGATCCGTGGCGAGCGTCTAGCCGCTCGGCCACGGCGACTCCTTCCTTCACGATATTTCTGTTTTAAACTGCTGTATTCGCTGATCTCAAGCAGAAATTTGAAAAAATTATGCTTTTTGCCGCGGCACCCAGTTTGAGAACTGCTAGTCTATGGAAAGGGTTCCCTCTCTATCTATCTATCTATCTATCTATCTATCTATCTATCTATCTATCTATCTATCTATCTATCTATCTATCTATCTATCTATCTATCTATCTATCTATCTATCTATCTATCTATCTATCTATCTATCTATCTATCTCTATCTATCTATCTATCTATCTATCTATCTATCTATCTATCTATCTATCTATCTATCTATCTATCTATCTATCTATATCTATCTATCTATCTATCTATCATCTGCCTGCCTGCCTGCCTGCCTGCCTGCCTGCCTGCCTGCCTGCCTGCCTGCCTGCCTGCCTGCCTGCCTGCCTGCCTGTCTGTCTGTCTGTCTGTCTGTCTGTCTGTCTGTCTGTCTGTGTAAGTGTGCATCTTTGTTGTGTATGTGTATTCGTGTCTGTGTGTATATGTCTGTGTGTGTGACTGTGTATTTGCAGCTATGTACATGTGTCTGTATCTGCGTGTGTGTCCCTGTGTTTGTCTGCATGTCTTATTTTCTGTGTGTGTGTGTGTGTCCGTATATGTTTTTCTGCATGTTTGCCTGTGTATGTTTGTGTGTGTTTGTCTGCGTGTGTGTCTATGTGGCTGTATGTATGTGTCTGTGTGTGGGTGTCTGTGTGTATGTGTTAGTGTGTATGTCAGTGTGTGAGCATGCATATATATATGTCTGCTGTGCGCCTTCGTGTGTGTGTCTTTATGTAAGTGTCTGTGTGTGTATGTGTGTCTGAGTTTGCGTGAGTGTGCGTGTGTCTGCTGGCCTGTCTATATGTGCATTTGTTGGGGTAGGGTGGGGGAAATAGATTCACTGCCCCTACAAATCTGTCATAAAAGTTTTCTTCAATCTAAGAGTGCATCTTTCTGAGAAGAAACCAACAAACTGCATACTGGTAAGCCAGCTATGCAAAACGTATGTGCACGCAAAACTCAAGTTTTGGAACAAGACCGAAGTCCAGAAATTGACAAACAACCAGAACTGTCCTGCGAATTAATGCTAAGAAGAAGAAGACAAGTGCTAGTGATGGTAAAAACCATACAAAATATACATAATATTATTCTCTCTCTCTCTCTCTCTCTCTCTCTCTCTCTCTCTCTCTCTCTCTATATATATATATATATATATATATATATATATATATATATATATATATATATATACATATATTGGGCTGTACCGAATAGTGATATTTCACTATATTTGTCGAATATATATAATAGCGGTACCGACCAGTGATTTTCGACCGTCGAATACGAAAATAGGTAGTTATTCGGCATCATCATCAGGTGCCTTGCCGACTGGCGTGGGCGATTATGCCTCGCCACAATCTGCGACCTCCTGCAACATGTATTAGTTCGTGCGCTGACACACCGCCTATGCCATGCAACAAGACTGTCAAGCATCTTCACTCGTTGTCTTTCTCTATCCATCCTTCCACAGATCTTTCCAGTGGTCACGACATGTTTTAAATTTTACTCTTCTCATAACATGGCCGAAAAATGATGACTGTCTCCTTCTGATGTCTGTGATTAGTCGTCTTCGGGCTCCCGCTTCTTTTAAAACCTCTTGGTTGCTTCTTTTTTGTGTGTGGCTGTCAAAGGTATTCTAAGCATTATTCTGTAAAACCCCATCTCTAAGGCCTAAAGACATTGTTTGGGCTGCCTACAGATTGTCCAGGACTCACAACGTAATGCCTTTAAATATAAGTACGTACTTGACGAGGCTAACAGTTAATATTGTAGAGACCACATTTTTTACTTTAAAATTTCAACCAAAATGTAATCACAACCTTATTTATCCACTGCACCTTCACGAATACAGATGGATAAATACAGACAATTTTGCGGTTGGCATTTTATGCAGTATGATACACTGTGAGTGTGAACCAAGGGAAAACAACTGTTTTCCACAGTGGCGAGGAAAGACTATTTAAATTTTAAATTGTAAGTATCCTCATGCCTTCTTTAATAATGTCACAATTTATAGTAGACTTTTCTTGATTTTCGACGCGGCAACCCTGGCATACGCACCCAGTTTGAAAACCTCTGCAGTAATGCCTCGGTCGAGTCATCAGGCAAAGACCTTACCAGCTGCTGTACCACGCAACCGTGTCGTAGTTCCCCCCGCTACGAAAGACTAAGGCAATAGCAACTGTTAATGGGATGAGTTATTTCAGTCCATCGCGGTGTATGCAGAAACGGGTATTCGGCAAGCATTCGGCCGAATACCGAATAGTTATTAGGTCCACTATTCGGCCCGAAGCGAATAGGAAGCGAGTATTCGGTACAGCCCTAATATATATATATATATATATATATATATATATATATATATATATATATATATATATATATATATATATATATATATATATTGTCTCACACAGTCTCAGTCTTCTTACATGACAGAGGTAATGAAGAGAAAGCGTCCCATGAGTGGCTTCCACAGAAGGAGAGCTCTCTCGAGTGTCCTTGTTCAACATTATTGTGTAGAGACTCATGGTCTAGATTAGACTCCTTCTGTCTGATGATAAATAGAACTATGCCTTCGAATTAGTTGAGTTTTCGGAACCTCACTTCGTCAAACTTCTTCTCTCATTGCGAGCTAGGTAGAATGCAATCTTGAAGGGCAGAATGCTAGACGGGCGTGCGTGCCCATTCTTAACCCCTAGAAAATAAAGTTCGTTCATTTCTTCGTACAAATGGCGTGGATACTAAGCATAATTACGAACTTAAAATACTATATTACATGAACTCAGCATGAAACCTAGCGAATCTCGTCAATAAGGTCTCGGAGAGTATGACTGGAGACATTTTAACCAATCTCTTATGGGAAGAATCACCAGAGGTGGCTATGGCCTGTGGTGGGTCAAGCATCGAAGGACTTTGAAATTTGCATAATTTGCACTGATGTCGATCGTGAAAACATAACAATTACAAAATAAAGAAAATCGTAATAATACTTACCAGATCATCCCGTACCAATGCTAAACGGTCATGGAGGTTTGTACTGCTATCACCACCATCTTTGAGCAGATCACATTGAAGCTTTGTATCCTTGTCATTTTCACCAGATTCACTTTGTATACAAGCGTCCTCAGGCAAATTGATATTTTTAGAAAGGTTAAGGCTGCCCATGTACTTCTCTTTCCAGATCGTTGTACTAAGCCTTCTGGTTGGTAGATTTAAACGTGTTGCTAATGCTTTTAGTGATCTCAAGTCTGATTGGTCAACGGCGGATATACGACGAACTAACATACTATTTGATTGACTGTCTGCATGTGATTGTTTTCTGGTTGTATAAGGAAGAGTCTCTGAAAACAATTCGCCTGATTGGCTGTTGCTAATTTGTGATTGTTGACTGGTGGGAATTTGTGATTGTTGACTGGTGGGAATTTGTCCTAAATTTGGTAGAGAATGTAAACGCGCAGATGACACTTCTGTACTTCCATCATGCAGTATTGAAGATAAACCGTTCCATGACTGGCTTCCACAGAAGGAGAGCTCTCTGGGGTGTCCTTGTTCAGAATAATCATGTACAGACTCATGAGCTAGATTAAACTCCTTCTGACTGTCATAGGCATCTGATGATATGTAAAACTTTGCTCTGGAATTACTGGAGTTTTCGGAACCTGTGCTATCTCCCTTTGCTAAACTTCTTCTCTCAGTCCGAGCTAGGAAGGATGCATTCTTGAAATCATAACTGCCCATACTCCGCCTCAAGGGCCGGGCTTTCACAGACGAGAATGTAAATGATGAACTTTTTCTGACCTTATTTCTCCATGCCTGTTGCTCTTCACTTAATGTTTCCTTTTCGTCCTGTTTCTGACGTTCCATGTTTGAAATGTTTGTATTTTTCACTTCTTTGGTCATGTTATTACCATCTGAAAGTTTACCCGCCCAGTTTGCATTGACATTTAAATTTAGCATCGAACACAATTTTCTTCGCTCATTTGACCATCTCTCAGAGCCACTCAAAGATTTTGGCTTATCCTCTGTTTTGCGTAAGTCATCCAGTATATCCTTGGGCTTGCTAGTCCCCACCTGTGAACTGATTTGTTGGTGTGTAGATTTAGATTGCTTGCTTCCATGATCAGTGTTGATTTTTACGTCCATTTCCACAATGCCATTGTCTGATATATTCGTGGTTGGCAACCCAACACCTGTTCCTTCTGCAGATTTACAAACAGCATCATTAGCTGAAAATAATTTCTTTTGGATTGAACTGACATTCTGAACAGATACAACCGTATCACCAGGAAACCTACACAATTCTAAAGTAGCTGTTGTTCTGTCGTTTTTTTGGCAATGAATACTTTTCTCGGAAGTACACTCAGTGCCGGAGTTTACCGAATTGTCCCGAAGACTACAGTCTTCTGTATGCCGATTACATTGATCCAATGCATCTACCGGATGCTCAAGCGGTGCAACAGATTTTCTCCTGGGGGGTCTAGGCTGAGAGTGTTTATCTAAATCGCACGACTCTTTGCCGTCGTTGGCAGATTCAGTTTGAAAAACACTGTCGATGCAATCGTCAAGAGAACTTTCAGTGATGATTGAAAGTGGGCGGGGCTGTTTGCTTCTGATCTGAGTCGCCATTGTGTGTCACGTTGTAAAATACTAATTTGTGGTTGAAGCAATAACTTTGTGGAGAACATTCGATGACAAACAGTAAATGTTAATAAAGTTGAATCTCTGAATTATGTGAATAAATATAGGTTGTCGTTTGGTTTCGCCTGTCACCGTATAAAGAAGCACCACCATCTGAAAAAAAGAGGATTATTTGCAAATGTTAATTGCAATCGTTCTATTTCTGTACATTTGCTACAAAATAAATAATCTTATATGTAGGCCGAGAGTTAATCTCTCCTCGTGCGATCCTGTCTATTTGAACGTCACTGGGGTCCAAATGGAGCAATGATGCGCAATACAAGACTCTTAATGTCTATTAGCCTCTCTTGCTCAAGCCTACCTCACCTTCACGTGGTGGACCCTGTTCTTCCCAGCAATCCAGTTGAAGGTTGGGGTCTTAACCCCCAGCGGGAAACTGGATGGGACAACAAATGAGGTAAAAGCGAAGGGATGAGCCTACTCTCCCTCTCAAGAGATCCTGAAGTCGGAAATACTGGGCCAGAAGGCGGATAAAAAAACCACAGTATTTCGCAAACCTACGCTATATATATGATTACACCGTCAGACAAATTTAATGTTGGTGCTCGCCCTGTGGAGCTCCACCAGACAGGTGCAGTGCTGGGTTCTGAGCCTCGACAGAATCCACCCCCAGCTACTGGAGGACCTCCTAGACCGTCTTGTGGAGTCAGGAGACGGCAGGGGATAGCTACTGACCAAAACCAGTTAGACAGAAAAGGTCCCAAATTGCCTTTTGTCATAATGCACTGGAAAGCAGAGGGGGTCAGCAGTAAGCAGGCTGGCTACAGCAAAAAGTTAGAGTTGGAAAACATCCTCTATGAAAAGCATGTCAGTGTATGCTACATCCAAGAGACCCATTTGCAGGCAGATCAGATATTTAAAGTGAGAGGCTACCAGTGCTTCAGATCTGATAGACATGGCAGGCAAAAAGGAGGAGTACTCACCCTTGTGAAAAAAAACAGTATCCATCCATGCGAGAAAATGTCTTATATGGATGGAGCTGAGTACCAACTCCTGCAGCTTAAGACAGACAAAGTGGAATTAGACCTCCTTAATTTACTACTGTCCCAATGACAAATCGCTAAACCTCAGCTCTGTGCCAGTACCAAATACCAACTTTATTGCAGTTGGAGACTTCAACAGTCATTCACAGAGCTGGGGCTATAACCATCTCGACAATAGGGGTGAAGAGGTGGAAACATGGCAAGATGACCACTCTCTGATCCTGATCAATGCCCCCTCAGATACTCCTACCTTCTACTCCAGAAGGTGGCAGACAACGTCAACCCCAGATCTTGCCTTCTCTACCCCAGATATATCTGGAATGATAAGTAGAGAGGTGGGAGACCAGCTGGGGGGCAGTGACCATCGCCCGATTTTTCTCACTGTCCAGAATGTACCAGTTAATACAGGCCCAGTCATCACAAGATGGAACTACAAGAAAGCCAACTGGGGCCTGTACAGACACAGGACAAGCACATTGTTGTCTGCACTCAAGGTACAAAATAGGGATATCAATGCTATAGTGCATGATTTTAATAGAAGTATTCTACAAGCTGCAAAAGAAGCAATCCCCAGAGGCTGTCGACACAACTATAGACCGTACTGGTCCAGCACACTCCAGGAATGCCAGGAAACAATGAATCAGGCTAGAAAGGATGCAGAATCCCAACCTTCACCTGACAACAACATCAAATGGAAAAAGGCTGTAGCAGTGTTCCAGAGAACTAAACTTGAAGAAAAACGGAAAAGCTGGAGAAATAAAACAGCAGCTCTAAACCTTGATAAAGATGGCAAGAAACTCTGGAGATTAGCCAAATCACTCAATGAAGAGAGTTTCTCTCCTAGACAAACAATCACGCTAAGTGATGGTGACAAAATCCTTAGAGGAAAACAAGCTGCAGATTTGTTTGCCAGAACATATAGTGTTGAAAGCAACCTGACCCTTAATGAGGACCATCAGAGAGAAATAAGGAAAGAAATACAAACAAATAAGAGACAGACAGATATTCCTGCCTCTATGAGGGAGCCATTTACCATGGGCGAACTACAAAATGCCATCTTTAGGCTTAAGTTAAAAAAGTCTGCAGGTCCAGATGAAATCAGCAACGAAATGCTAACCAAGCTGACCTCATCTGCTAAAGTAAAGCTGCTGGAAATTTTCAACATCAGCTGGGAGAAAGGTTTGGTGCCTCAAGTATGGAGAGAAGCCATCACAATACCCATTTTAAAAAAAGGAAAAATTAAGACACAGGCTTCGAGCTATCGCCCAATTAGTCTCACGAGCTGTGTAGGAAAGACATTGGAAAGAATTGTAAATTCAAGACTGAAATGGCACTTAGAATCTGAGCAGATCTTGGTGCCAGAGCAGGCTGGGTTTAGGGAATGTCACAGCATAGAAGACCAAGTCACCTACCTGTCACAAGCTGTAGAGGATGCCTTCCAAGAGAAGAAAAAGGTCCTGGCGGTATGGGTTGACTTCAAACAAGCTTTTGACAAAGTCTGGAAAGATGGTCTCATTGCAAAACTGAAGAGAAATGGAATCCAAGGAAACATGCTAAAATGGATCCAATCCTTCTTACACAGCAGGAGAACTAGAGTCAGTCTTGATGGCCAGCAGAGTCGAAAAGTGTTACTTCGGCAAGGAGTACCACAGGGAGGAGTTATCTCTCCAACTCTCTTTCTTGTGTATATAAATGATCTGGTGAAAGACCTCCCTACGGGAGTAAAAGCTGCCCTGTATGCAGATGATCTGGCACTTTGGTGTACCGATGAACACACCACAGTGGCAAATATAAGAATGCAGCGAGCAGCAGATCTCTTGATGACATGGGCAGAAAAATGGCATGTTGCCATCAACACAGACAAAACATCCACAACGCTTTTCTCTCTTTCCCCCAGGGACAAAGCTGCTAGTATTCACCTAGGAACATCCTTGCTAAAGGAAGAAAGCTTCCCCACTTATCTTGGAGTAACATTTGATAAAAGGCTCACATGGAGCAAACATATAGAAAATGTAGAAGGGAAGGCCAGGAGACGACTAGGCCTACTTAGAAAACTGGCAGGTACAGGATGGGGAGCGAATGGAAAAACCCTAAAGAAAGTTTATAATGGAGCGATAAGACCCCACTTGGAGTTTGGTGCAACAGCATGGTCAACAGCTGCTAATTCCCATCTACAATCGTTAGACAGAGTGCAAAATCAAGCTCTTAGACTCATCACAGGATCCATGAAAACTGCACCAATCCTGAAGATGCAGAAAATAACTGCAATGCAGACACTGTCCTATAGAAGAGACACTAAAACTATGATCCAGATGGAGAAGTTTAATAGTATGCAGTCACACCCAATGAATAAAAGGTTAGATGATCTGGCATTAGGGCGTCTCAAGCGTAGCAGCTTTGTCCATCGGGGGAAAAGACTTAGAAGACAGTATCAAGCTGATCTACCTATTAGAACAACACCGCTGAAACCTACCCTATACCCTGTACCTTGGGAGCAAGTCAGTGACACAATACAGATAATGACTTCAGTCAGTGGATTCACAACTGGAGATGAGTCCAATGATCTTCAAAAACGAACAGCTGCTCTTAGCATGATTCATGAAAACTATCCCGAATGGTCATGGATACATGTTTACACAGATGGATCAGCAACCAGTGCGGTTAAAAATGGGGGTGCTGGAATCTTTATTACATACCCAGGCAACCACCGCCACACAAAGTGGATACCCACTGGTAAATTCTGTTCCAACTACACAGCAGAGATTGTAGCACTAGAGCAGGCTGCCGAAATGTTACACAACACCAGTTCTGACTGCCACCAAGTGGTTATATTCACAGATGCGCTTTCAGTGCTTCAAGCCCTCAAGAGTGGCAAACTCCCTCACTTGAGATCTGAACTTGGCAAGGTGGCTGCCCAAAAGTGTACTGTACTCCAGTGGGTGCCATCCCACTGTGGTATACCAGGAAACGAAACCGCAGATAAACTTGCTAAAAAAGGGGCAGAATGTGATCAGGAAGAGAATGCAGTAACATACTATGAGAAGAAAAGGGCCATCCAGGCTATTAGAAGTGAACAGAGTCTGGCCAAAGATGACTACCACTTACTTGACCGGCATGGGCAGGTCATTGTCCTACGTCTCAGGACAGGACATAACAAACTTAACCAGCATATGCACAGGCTTCGTCTAAGTAGTTCACCTTTGTGCCCTTGTGGGCTATGTGTGCAGACTACAGAACATGTCCTGCAAGACTGTCCCTTGTTCGGCCCATTAAGAAAGGAACACTGGCCCAGTGAGTCATCACTGTACACTAAGTTGTATGGGACTAAAAATGAACTCATAAAAACAGTCAAGTTTATCACAAGAACCTGTCTGTCGGTGTAAATCAGAAAGCGAACACAAGAAGAAGAAGAAGAACGTCACTCACTCCTGTGGGCTGCACATAAAATGATTTTCATTGTCCTAAAATTGCTTTACACACACTCAAATGTTTTACCAGCGAAAGGACATGTTTACAACAATGCACGTTTTCTACTCAGGACCAGTCGAAAACAGTTGGTGATAAGGGCTTCAGCCAAGTAGAATATGATTACAGTTTTTCTGCCGTTCGGGGTAGTTCTAACGTGACCATATGCATATATGTGAGTGACTCTGTGGCTTAAGGATTAGTGAATGCATTTCACAGTTTCGCGATCTTCGCGTACTAGGATTCGGTTTGCGCTGAGGATTGTTTATTAAAAAAACACAGACCGTTCTCGGGCTTTCAGGAGAGTGGTAGGAGGGTCGTCAGGGAAAGAGACGGGGACCCCACCAGATAATATCGCTAAAGAAGACAGTGTGTGAGGAGCAGCCAAACTAAACTAGGCAGACGGCACATAGTTTTGTATTCGTGTTTATAGTGAAGTATTCTTGTTGTTTCGTTTGCTTTGTTCTTTGATAAGGACTT